AGTAAAGTAACAGGATTACTTTTTGGGGGAAGTAATCGGTAATTAGTTACTGATTACTTTTTTCAAGTAACTTGACCAACACTGGTAGTGACAGTGGTGTACAGGGCGATCATGGGTCAGAAATCAATCAGTGCAGGTAAGAAGGCAATGCAAGAACCAGAGCTGGCAGCAACAACAGCAAAGAGCCAAGTGAGAAGATAGAAATGTAACAGATGCTGAAGGAACTGCAACAGATGTGGCAGTGATCCAAGTGACAACAGGAGCCTCGTGGGCTCTGTCGACACTATCTGACACAAAACATTTATTGAAAACATCTATTTCTAGACGCTTTCTTCTGTTCCTTTCTGTCACATCACAGAGCAAAAATCATTAAATCTCCTTTACACAGATCATGAAATGGTCTCTGTGGGATTCTGAAATTTTATCTCATTACGTTTATTTTCTTTCCATATTAATTACTTCCACCGTATCGAGGGAGGAAGAAGGAAAATAGGGCAAATTTCTCAAGTCTCATTTTGCATTTGGGCGAGCTCTGCAACAGCCAGTGGCTGTAGTGTGCGTTAGCAAAGACTCCTGTGTAATAGGGTTTGAAGTTAAGGCTCATTGCCTCCTCTGTTTCCTTAGTGTGGAACTCCCTGCAGGTCTCCAGTCCAAGTTATATGTTTTAATTTTGCAGAAAACATAAAGAAATTGTGGTATAAGCGAATAAAGCAAACTGACATTTTTTTTAAATGAAAACGTAGAAATGATCGCTGTTGTATGAGATGTTTACAACGTTTTTTGTGTCCTCTGTTTTGCCTTTGGTACAGAAAAGTTTGGTTTTAGAAAATGTTAACAGCCAATTATGCATTCAGCTTCAGCCTGAACCTTTTCTCTCAGTGTCTTAACATTTACAGGCTGCCATGTTTCTACGAGGCTGGCTCTCCAGCTTCATCTCTCTCTGTTCTCTCAGGTGGAGTTGGGTAGGCCTTGGTGCCTGACCTCGCCCCTGAGTGGGGTATTCCTGTTGCTGAGCCAGTGTGCGCACCTGTTTTCCATTAACTCATCACCTTTTGAAAATAAAGGGCTAGCTGATACTTTCACTCCTTGCTAGATTGTTTTTGCCCTTGTGGTAATGTGGTAATCTACGGAGCCCCGCAGGGGACATGGGAGAAAAAAAAAAATGAGACGGACTTTTGCGAGATCTCCCAAAACAAACTTGGGATCTCGCAAAAGTTTTAGCCCCATTCTTCGGAGGCCGCCAGCTCGAAGCCGACCGGGAGGTCGAGGCACGATGTGCCGGGAAAGCGGTGTTCCTCCCGGCTGTAGTAGGTCTCGACCTCCCGTTAGCTTCGAGCTAGTGGGTGTCAGATCTTCGAAAACGTCGGAGCACTTTTGCAAATATGTGATGTCTTGAAAACCGAGCAGGTATCTGACGTTTACACAACTACATTCACGCCTCAAAATATCTTAAAAGTGTATTTTGTGACCCAGAAAGAGTAATATTACAACTAAGTAGCTGCCGCCATTGTTGGAATTCAACTTTTGCGAGATCTCGCAAAAGTTTTGCGAGATCCCGAGTTTGTTTTGCAAGATCTCGCAAAAGTCCGTCTTAATTTTTTTTTCTCCCATGTCCCCTGCAGGGCTCTGTAGTAATCAGACTCAACTCCAGTGATTATCTTACCTTAAGCCTTCAGTTGCCTGACCTTGTTCTTGTCCAGCTGAAAAAAGCATAAAAAGACAAACTGTGATTCGAGAAAACTCTGCTGGTTTCCTGGAAAAGTAAGAATTAACCTTAAACTTACCTGTCTACTCTTCACCAATCTTTGCCCACCCCCTCCACCTGTACATCCATAAAGAGTTATGAAAAAAGGACCAGCATCAATTCAAAAATAGTCCTCTGCCTTGTAAAAAGAGATCAAAAGAAAACAATAAAGATTCTGAGAACTTGGTTTTGGTCTTGTGCGTTCTGCTTCTGACTCCTCTCTA